GAAAAGAAAGAGAGGCCCCCCCCAAAAAAAGGCAGAAAGAAACAGTTCAAGAAAAGAAACTAACATAAAAAGGTAGAAAGAAATCAGGTGTGAAAAGGGCTAACACATTCATCGCAAGTTGCCGTGGAGTAACAATTCGCACAAGTTCGGTTCGAGTCAGGTGATATTACTAGCGGATTTCCTTCTCAGAAACAAAACATGACAACTTCGATCCATATCACTCATAATTAATTATTCTGTCATATATCATATATTGCTGAAATGGTAAAGCTATCCCTGTAACCGGCCGTGTAGGCCCATAGGGTTCTGAGACGTCGAGGCTTCCACATTTTCTAGACAATCGGCTCACAGATGGCGGTGAGGTTAAGTCAAGCTATCCCTGTAACAGGCCGTGGAGGCCCATAGGGTTGTGAGACGTCGAGGCTTCCACATTTTCTAGACAATCGGCTCACAGATGGCGGTGAGGTTAAGTCAAGCTATCCCTGTAACAGGCCGTGGAGGCCCATAGGGTTGTGAGACGTCGAGGCTTCCACATTTTCTAGACAATCGGCTCACAGATGGCGGTGAGGTTAAGTCAAGCTATCCCTGTAACAGGCCGTGGAGGCCCATAGGGTTGTGAGACGTCGAGGCTTCCACATTTTCTAGACAATCGGCTCACAGATGGCGGTGAGGTTAAGTCAAGCTATCCCTGTAACAGGCCGTGGAGGCCCATAGGGTTGTGAGACGTCGAGGCTTCCACATTTTCTAGACAATCGGCTCACAGATGGCGGTGAGGTTAAGTCAAGCTATCCCTGTAACAGGCCGTGGAGGCCCATAGGGTTGTGAGACGTCGAGGCTTCCACATTTTCTAGACAATCGGCTCACAGATGGCGGTGAGGTTAAGTCAAGCTATCCCTGTAACAGGCCGTGGAGGCCCATAGGGTTGTGAGACGTCGAGGCTTCCACATTTTCTAGACAATCGGCTCACAGATGGCGGTGAGGTTAAGTCAAGCTATCCCTGTAACAGGCCGTGGAGGCCCATAGGGTTGTGAGACGTCGAGGCTTCCACATTTTCTAGACAATCGGCTCACAGATGGCGGTGAGGTTAAGTCAAGCTATCCCTGTAACAGGCCGTGGAGGCCCATAGGGTTGTGAGACGTCGAGGCTTCCACATTTTCTAGACAATCGGCTCACAGATGGCGGTGAGGTTAAGTCAAGCTATCCCTGTAACAGGCCGTGGAGGCCCATAGGGTTGTGAGACGTCGAGGCTTCCACATTTTCTAGACAATCGGCTCACAGATGGCGGTGAGATTAAGTCAAGCTATCCCTGTAACAGGCCGTGGAGGCCCATAGGGTTGTGAGACGACGAGGCTCCCACATTTTCTAGAAAATCGGCTCACAGATGGCTTACTTAATCTTACTTAATCACTCTACCACGTAGATGTCTTCATTTACACATAAGTTAACGGCTGTCTTCATCTCCTTTCGGGCAGCTGAATGCAGCCCGCAGGAGCCCGTTTGGGCCGAGTCATTCTGGCTGTAGAAGTGGCTAAGAGAGAAAACACAAGGTTCCAAATGTTTCCAGGCATTTACTACCTACAGTCCGCCATATTGTCACTCTGTTTCAGACGGTGGCGTTATGACATGTTAACATATTCGGTTTTATCTATATTTTCTAGTAATGTTTTCTAACAGTACTCTAGTCCGTAAAAGAATTTCTGTGCTACTCCTAATTATATTCCAACCCAATAATGGACGCCGTAAGTAGTTTCAACTATCCGGTTTCCGGCATTCAAGTGTGAAATCGTAGCTGTACATATACCAGGTAAGTAATGTTTCATCCTGGCCGCGCCATACCTCAAGCGGTTAGACGCTAGGATCCCACCGCGGCGGCCAGGGTTCGAACACGGGTCTGGTCAAGCGGGATTTGTGGTGAACAAAATGGCGCTGGGGCGGGTTTTCTCCTAGTACTTAGGATTCCCCTGCCAATTTTCATTCCACCAAATTCTCCATCATCATAATCACCCGGGGCAGGCTATAGGCCAATCAGTTGCCGCAGTGCCGAGTGGACCCAGTTGGACTCCACCCCCCACTAAGCGAATTAAAAAAAAAAGGTTTATCCAAAGTTACAGCACAGGGCCTTCGTAAAAGTTTCAGGTAATCAGTGCATCAAGAATTTTGCCGCTCTTACGAAACCCGAAATTTCATCGTAAACGTCCATCCTAAGACCCTATCCCGATACAGCAAAATCAAATAATCACACCATCATGTCCTATATCTCTATGTCCCGCAATGACAATTACAAATCATGGAATTCTTCATTACGAAATTTCCCACATCTCCCAATAACTTCCTTCTTGGGTTCTAATAATAAAGCGGCATATAACAGTTATTAATCATGGATCACACCAAGAGGATGGAGTGAAAAATACAGGTCAACACCCTCTTAAATTTAGCACTATACTGAGAGAGCCAGCTTCATGCTCCGGCCACTTCAGCCCTTAAGAAAAAGACCCCGGTGTCCACGGGTTGCGTGGGCTCCACAGTCGGAATGACCTCAGTGATGAACATATATACTCATGCTCCTTCTGAGGAGCCCACAGCCATTCACTATATCGACTGAGCTCTCACGACTCACTTGCTTAGTACATGCTATGGAGCTTCTTACTGTGGAAACCAAAAGCCTCCGCGCTTACTAACTTAACTACACTAACTACGAAACTTGATAACCTTCAATATCCGTGCGGCTTAAGACAAGAATATTCTGAAGCGAAGCGAATATCGTAATCATGAATTCGATGCCGGCCCAGAGAATGAAATGTTCTATAATATCTGCTAATGGGCCTACTCATCACCACAATCCCCGAATGTAGATGTTCAACACTGAAATAGAACAAAGGAAAATGTCATTTAAGATGTTTAAAATCTTCTGTAGTTTTCATTTTAATACGTTCCGTTTGCTAAATGGTGTCCAGAATTAATGGAGTCCAGAAATCACGGGGGAAACGCTATAAGTACGAGAGAAAATTACTTCCCCTTTTGGGGAAATTCACTATAAAACACGTTTCGTGTCCGAATTACTACGCTTCATTTTAAAACAACTACGTAACAACTGCCATGAAAGCGAAAACTCTGAAAATACGGTACCCATCTCATTTTTTAACTGTAGGAAAAAATATTGTAAATACAAAAAAAAAAGGCCTAGGCAATCCCCTTCCGACCTCGTACCCCTCTAATGTAATGTACAAGAGTTGCCATCTATCGGCTAGTATCGTACTACTGTACACGGTCTGAGCGACCTCCTCGCCATCTGTTGTGGAAATTAATCACAAGGCAACAACATACACGTATAGTCACGGATATAAATTCTGCAGTATGTTTGCAGCACCATCGATCAAATAATGAAGTATGGAGGCGGCGGGCCAAATACTGACGAGCCTGAGGCCACGCTAGAAATTAGGCAGATGCAAGATACGATCTAGCGATCTTTAACGTCTTTAAACCACCCTCATAAGGCTCCCGGATACGATCTGATAACAGGCGCTCTACTAACGAATCTCCCACG